AACAATAGATAAAAATATAAACGCGCTCCCAATTTGTAAACAATATCGTCCGTAGGGCTTCTATGATGCAGTAATCTATGTTATGAACTAAGAATTCTAAATTCAATATATATTTTTTTGATTTTGATGATAATTTAAACAGAACATAGATAACTGCATTAAAACAGAGATCCACACAGTTAACCATTGTAAACGTTTTATAGGGCATACAAAATTGGACTTCGGATACGATACACTCCATAACGTGCTTTTTTGCCTTCGATTAGTGATATCGATTTTGTCGGTATTATAAATTCTATCTTACGGTAATGACATTTATGTTCAATTTTGCTCCCGCTGAAACGCACAATAAGTCGTACCTATATCGGTCCCTGCTTCAAAAACACGAAAGATTAGCTAACATCAACTACTTCAGTATGTCAACTTAGATAAATCTCGAGGAGCTACTTAATAAAACAATTCTCTAAAAAAAAATAGCATAATAAACCTAGCAGTCAAAAGCGAAAGCTGTAAGCAGACATACTGAAGTTAAAAAGCTCAGGCAAACAATATTCAAGACGAACAACTAAAATTATGACAAAGAAAAAAAGGACCTTCATCCTTGGCCATAGCTTCAGTCTTGCTTGTTTGTTTGCCCGAACGTCGAACTATAACAATCGTACGACATACAACATAGACATCCAATTAATTAATGTAATGGATTTAGTTAGTGTCCCGTACCATACTACAACATGGTGCAATTCTATACAATATATCTGTACAGTTGTTTTATTATCTGCTTTTTAGTCATCATTTAGGTATGCCCACTTTGTAGAGACTATTCATTGGAACAGTTTACTTATTTATGTGTTTTTGAGTTTTTTTGTAGTCTAGACCAGATATTTGATTGTAAAATGTTAGTATACTTTTAAGCGGTGGTAACTCAGTAGGGGAACGGTTGCTTTCAATAGACAAGTTGGCGGTTTGAATCTCTGTGGCGACATGTACCTATGACTTTTAATCTTTACGTATAAAATATGATAAAACCTGCATGTCGCAGAAGGTTCAAATCATAAGGTTGCTAACAGATTGACTACACGTTTGCAGTTAATGCGTGAAGTAGTAATCAACTTCTTGCAGCCGAGACTACGACTGTATGATGTTGATAACGAGTTCACGCATTTACTGCATGCTATCGATCTCGGCTGCATGAAGTCGTTATCAACTTCATGCAGCCGAGATCACGGGTCTCTGGTCGTCTAAAGTCCTAAATATTATGATTTATAAAACTGCATATTGCTGAATACAGTTCTTTGATGTTTTTAACAACAAATACAGCACGGAACACAATAATAAACTAATTTTGATGAATTTTGTAATAACCCTAGATTATTAAATTCAGACTATCTACGAGCTTTATAGGTAAACTGTTTGTAAATATTGACCAGAATCTCAAAAAGACAATGCCAGATACTGTATAGCTTATGAAATTTTTCTAGGTCCAAGTAAAAATACTTGTAATTTCTAGAAGTTGTGTAACTACAAGGAAGACATTAATGTTTTTGCAACAATACCCTATTATTACGTTTCTGGAGTCAAGAATAGTTCTATTAAATACTAGAAATCTAAATGTACTATAAAAAGTAAAAAACTTCTTTTAGATTTTACAATTCTATCTGGGGCATCTGTCACGGTGATTCTGGCATTGCCCTATCATACCCTCAATAATAATGCGGCGATAATCATTTTTGGGAAACTACGTGACAGCAATCAAATATTACTAAATTTTATTCGATATGAAAAACGGTATATTAGTTTTATTTCGCAGACAAATATACCATCTTGTTTGTGCAAAATATGACTAAATTCTATGTAATATATAAGAAACTATATTACTTTGGTTTAGCAGACAAATATACCATTTACTTGCAGCCAAATATGAGTAAATTGAATTTGATATGAAACAACATATTGTCTGCCTAAAGGTGAAACCACATAAGTGACATTTTCCACAAAAATCTCCAAACTATGTAAATTCACCATCTTTTTGCAGATAAAACTCAATAAGTTTATAGCTTTTTGTTATTGAGCTTCACGTGCAGAAAGATAGTGGTTTTCTTACCATAGTTATATAAATTAAAAACTTTTGTGGAAAATTTCACTTATATGGTTTTACCTTTAATCAGACGACATAATACTTTTATTTTGTTACTAAATATACGTAGGTACCTGCCATATGGTTGATGAAAAAAAAAATATTTTTGATACGAAAAAAGGTAAAGTAGTTTTATTATCATATATAACCATATGATAAATATATGACTGAAATATGACTAATTTCTATAAGACTTGAAAAAAGAAAACTACTTATTTTATTTTAGTACGTAATTTTTGAAAACCTATTCTGTCAGTTTCCCAAAAATGTTACTTTAAATTTAAATTCAATTAAGTGTGCGATTTATATTATAACTTAATGATTCTCATGTATGTAAATGAAAGATCCCACGAGATATTTTCAATCGAGATTTTGGTCATATACGGGCAACTACAATTGAATGTAAAAATAAATATGAAATAATCAAATTACTATCTACTTGATGTATTAAATGACAATGTGTTGTTCTGTATTATTCATGAACGTAATAACTAGTTTCAACCAAGCACACATTTATGTATAATATTGCGTACACTGTATAAGGAGCTGGGATTTCACCATAGATAATTCTGGCATGAACTAATTAACTCTAGAGGTTTGCTAATCTCCATACTGCAGATCGTAACCATGTAAAAGGTCAAAATTCCGTCTTAGGTCTAGATAGCGCTCAATAGCCTGGAAATAGTTTATATTATGGAAATAATAATAATAAATAATAAATAACGCACACACTCAACATAGCCCCGCACTAGGGAAACCCTGTGTCGCGGGTGCCATGGACACACACATAGACAACCACAAATTACACCCAAACTCACGAGAGAAATAATTGTAGGCCATACAACTATTTCTCCCGGCCCGGGAATCGAACCTGGGACCTCTGCGTGGCAGTCCGGCATGGTAACCGTTCGGCCACGGAGGCAGTTTGGCCGTGGCCGTGGATATCAAACATCGAGTATATAACCAGAAATAGAGACGAAACAAGAGTCATCCATCCCTGGCAAACTATCAGGTGAATGGGCCTTATACCACTTTTAAATATCAACTCCCGTTTGCACTGAAATCACAAATTAGAAAGCGGAAATAGTACAGCGTCAATAACTGACCTGTGTGTACGTCGCCGTATATTCCAAAAATATTCTGTACTTATTGTAATATAAATATAATACAAAGATATTATCTCTAACAATGGGGGGCTGTTCCATTCGGTGGTGTGGGAAAAAAACAGCAAAACATCTAATTACAAAACAAACGGAATCACATTTCATCGGCAATTAAATATGTCATTTTTCAATTTTCGTGCATTATAACAAAGCTCAAATTAAAATTAGTCGATTTGAAGTGAAACAATTGACGACACCCGTCAGAATAGTTTTCAAACAAATTAAATAACATTTCGTCTGTATTTCTGGTTATATACTCGATAATATCCTAATTCCTACTAATTCCTCTTTAATATGAAATATAAGAAGTCAGTTTTTCCTTTGTAATTCAAATATTGATCATGCATGAGCTAAATTATTTTCTTTTCGCCTGTTCCATACTAATTTATAAATTAACGCTTCTTACAATGGGTAGATGGCGTTTATCCTAAACAAAATAAAATAATAGCCGACACTATCCAAAAATCTGAGCAATAAGCGCCATCTAGTTGATTTGTTTGTTATCAATAGAAATTGCAGCTCCTCAATGTAAAACCAACTAGTTATAACAATGGCTATTTGGTATTCGTCGCGTTATGGGGAACTGTATACGTTTTTACAATAAGATTCCGGAGCATTTATTAAGTTTACCATTTCCTAAGTTTAAAACTTACTTTACAAAAGAATTTTAATAGAAAAGTCATTACAAAATTGTAGATAAAGTTAGATAAAGATGTACAGAAAGGCAACGTGAGTCTAGATTCCACACAAATGATTCAAAATGTATTCCATAGGGTTTAAGTTTATTTGAAAAGAGCTATCTCTAGAGTTTCTTGCTCGTTCTTCTCAGGGAAGTCAGCGCAGTGACCGAGCAGTATAGCTTAAAAAATGACGTTTTCAAGTGTAAAAATTTTACCTGTGGA